AATAGGAACAAGGGTCTGGAGAGAACAAGTGAAGGACCGGAAAAGTGAAAGAAACTAATCAAGACTATCGAAGCCAAGGAGTTAAATAAGGGTTGCCGTTTTTATCACCCATATTCCTTAATCTATATGGTGAATTTGTCATGAGAAAATCTGTAACTTGAGATTCGCTGACAACAATGATGGCAGCAATACAGCAAGGAATGCTGGATCTTTTGAAGAATGTAGAGTTCGAAAGAGTCGTAGGACAATACCCAAGAGATTAAATGTCGCATCGGAAAGGCAAAAAGTGCATTCTTGACTATGAGCTCTGTGTTCCAGAGCCCTGACCTCACCCTAGAAACAAAAATAAGGCTCCTTAAATATTACGTTTACTCAGTGCTTCTGTGTGGAGTAGAAACGTGGACATTGAAGGCGGAAACTATATCAAAACTTCAGGCCTTTGAGCTATGGTTATACAGAACGATCCTAACCGCGGATTTGGTCAACATCGTGAAGGGGCGTAAGCTACAGTACTTGGGACATGTAATGAGAAATCAAGGTAAATACGAGCTACTCCAATGCAGTTTGCACGGTAAAATTGAAGGAAAAAAGGTCCCAGGACGAAGAATATTCTGGCTTGCTAACCTGAGAGCATGGTATAGAAAGACCTCAACACAGCTATTCCGTATAGCAACCAACAAAGTCATCATAGCCAGAATGATAGCCAACGTTCGGAACGGAGAGGCACTCTAAGAAGAAGAAGACAAAGATAATTATAGTAGACAAATTTCTTATTGAACGACTAAGACACGGCTTAAATGCCGTTAAACGAAACCGAAATATCCGAAAATATGTTGAAACTTACATAATGCAAATCCAAAACAGATACTATTTTAATTGTAAACCAGTAATATCTAAGTTATCCAAAGCCAAGCTAACATACAATTAACCAATACATTAGGTTTTAGCCGCCACACCTCCAAGATGATAACGTTATCATACTCGATATGGTCTAAAGCTTGGGTGAAAAACAATTTTGAAAGAAGTGATAAGAATAAATAACGAGGTTATTTAAAAATAAATTATAGTTCCAACAAATAATCTATTGATAAATTAGAGGATATCGGTAAACAAATTTTTCTCCTATCGTGTATGAGTCACTTTCTTGTTACTGACTAGTTTTTAGCTACGATTATTTGCGCCTTATTAATGATAATGCTATATCACGATAGATAATTTGTAAAAGGAAATGAAGCAGTATTATATGAGACTATACTAAAATTACAATCCCAAGATGCACTAGAAATAAACAAACTTCTTTATTTCTAGCTTTCTTAGATTTCTTCTCTTATCGGAAGTTAGCTATCATCACAGCTATTCTTTTCTTATTAGCTGCTGCTCTAAAAAGGTCTAATAATGTGCAAGTGTATCAGTAATCAGCTTTAAAACAATTCCTGTAATACCTCATCTCAAAAACTTCCAACTTAGAAGGTAAGAAGTATGAGAGGAGCTGAAATCGACTCGGACCATTATCTCGTTAAAGTCACATGTGGGAGGAGGCGGGAAGAAAAAGAGAAATCGAACAATAAAACAAAGAGAAAGTACAATATTGAAAAACTTAAGGAAGTAGAAATAAAAAATAAATATGAAGAAGAAATAAATAAAATTCTACAACAATTGTGACCAAAATTTACAGACAGATCTAGCCTGGTAAACAAATTAAATCTGCCGTAGGAGAAGCTAAGCGAGAAAATAGTTAAGTGCGACTCCAAGAGAAATACAAACAAAGATTGGTTTGACGAAGAGTGTCAGGCGATAGCAAAGGAAAAGAAGAAGATCAGACAACAAATATTAACAGATAATAGAGAGTGTAAAAAACAAGAATATAGAATAATTCGAGGAATATTGAAAGCTCTGTGTAGAAGGAAAAAGAGATACCACAATGAGTTGAAATTAAAAGAGATAGAAGAGAAGTTTAAAAGACAAAGAGGTGAGATCGTTCTATCAAGGAGTTAAAAAGATGGGAAAAGGTTACCAAAGCCACTGTAGTTATATGAAAGGTAAAGATGGAAATTTAATTAGCGATCCGGCAGAAATAATGACGGAATGGAAAAAACATTTTGAAGAATTATTAAATGGTGAGGTGGACCACGAAGCAGTAGACAACTGGACGGTTGGAGAAGATGTCGATAGTTGAAAGGCAGCCTACAGAGGAGGAGGTGGTGGATAAAGGAGGTGGTGGAGCAATAAAAGAAATGAAAAATAACAGAAGTCCTGGTAAAAATGACATATGCATAGAAATGATCAAGTTTGGTGGAGAACAACTACAAAGAAAAATATATCAGCTACTAGTGCAAGTATGGGAAAAGGAAATAATGCCATCGGAGTGGTATGAGGCCCGCATATGCCCTCTGCATAAAAAAGGAGACAAACTGAAGTGTGACAACTATAGAGGTATAGCCTTACTAGACACGGTATAACAAAATCTTGGCAAGAATATTGAGAAATAAACTAAATGCTACACGGAAAGAATTCTGCATGAATATCAGGCTGGCTTTAGAAAGGACAGATCTACTGTAGACCAAATCTTCTCATTAAAGGAGATACAAACGACTTGTTATGAAGGTAAAGTTCCCCTGCATGTTTTGTTTGTGGATTTTAGACAAGCATATGATAGAGTCGATAGAGTCAAAATGTATCGAGCAATGGAACATTTGGGGATACCAAAGAACTGATCCGGCTAGTTAAAATGACACTAAATAACTCTACGTGTGAAATTTCTTGGCAGGGTCATATATCAGATCAATTTACGGTTGCAAAAGGCTTGAGACAGGGAGATCCTTTATACACGACATTATTCAACCTAGTGTTAGAAACTGTAATCAGAAAATGCATCATGAAGGTGGAAGAAACGATCATGAAAAATGAGCACCAGTGCTTGCGTCCCAAACTAGTCATGAAGCTATATTTATAATCTCACTAAAATGCTAACGATTCATCAAATAAGTGTATTGCCCTCTGCATAGAATATAATCCTTTGACTTTTGAAAGCTGGCAAATATAATTTGCACGAAAGAGATGATTGCAGGCATTTCCTCAATACAATATTAAGAAATCTATAGTTTGCAGGAAGTTGAACAAATTGTAATTTAGCAACTAATCGATATGTTTCACAATTATACACGGTGAAATTATACAAATTTAGTTAATGGACTAATTTGTGTATGAGCTGTATTGAGTAGGAGCTGTATTGAAAGAAAATGATGAAAATGGATATGGTAAGCCAGTGGCATATTAAAAAAAATAACAAAGTCAAAAGAAAAAAAAGCAAAGAATATTTATCCTTAAAGAAGCTGTAACACATTAGCAACATTTACTTCTTGGAAAATAGTTCTTAGTATAATCAGATTACAAACCTTTAGAAAATTAAAGCATAAAAGCTAGAACTGATGAAGAATTGGGAGACTTAACATTCTACTTTTCTCAATATAATTTTAGAGTAAAGTATAATCCAGGAAAACATAACCAGAAGCAGACTGTTTAAGCAGAAATTCAGTTCTAGAATCTCATGAAAATACAGATGAAATATTTAAAAGTAGTAAACTTAATCAATTTGGAAGATATAAAAAAATGATCATCGCTCAAATATTTGATCTACAAAATACTACGATTAAATACAGGTTGGAATGACATATATTACAAAAAGTCAAAAAGACAAGACAAAAATTATTTTATCAGAAGATTTAAGTTAAGCCTTTGTAATTAAAAATATACACGATACTTACTAGCCACTTAGGAAAAACACAGATGTTAAATAAAATAACACCATTTTAAACAGCCAAAAAAATATGACTACTCTCTCTTCAATCCCGTCTCTGTCTCTGGTCATTTTTATAACCCATGTATAGGTCTTTTGCATATGCTTGTAATTTGATTTATCCATCTCGTTGGGGATCTTTATTCTGATCTGGTTATTGCATTTTTTTTCTCCAATTTTTTATTTTTAAAGTCGTTGTATCATTTTCTATTTGTTCTATGTATCTCAGCTTCGGCATTCCTCTTGATCTTTTCCTATTGACATTTGCTTACTTATTTTGTTTGGTATTTCGTCTTCTTCCATTTTTTACAAATGTCTCATCCAACGCAATCGTCCTATTTTAATGAGCGTTATGATATTGGAATCCTGGTAGACTTTATATAGTTCAAAGTTGTATCTCTTCGCTAAATTCCATTTTATTTTGTGCCTTTGTGAATACGTTGCAAGATTTTCCTTTCAATGGCTGCTAATAATAATCTTTCTCACTTTCAGAGAGTCTCCATGTTTCTGAACCATATGTGAAAACCAGTTTTATTGAGGTTTTTTTTTTATTTGGCATTTTGTTTTTCTACGTCGTTATCTGATCTTAGTCGCATAATAATTTTATTAATTAAGGCAATTTCGATAAAAAATGAATTTCCGATGCAATTTTTGTAACAACTAAATTGACTTTATAGCATTGTAAAAATCTGTGCAAAATAATGCCAACGAGTTATGAAAAAGTCGTTTTTTTATGTTTTTGTGTATAAAAATAAAATATTCCTATATCACTTAGTCTAATATTATTTTTAAAAAAGTGATTAAACAATTATTTTTTAAAAGCTTTTTATAGATACTGTTAGGCAATCATATCAAAATTACACAACTTTTTCGACTGACGTACAATAAAACGTTTTGGAAATTGTTTTCTTGGTTTCTGGGTATGACGTAAAAATCTTATTTTGGTGTAAGAAATGTATGGCGAAACCGGGTAGATATAAATACCAGGGATTCTTGGTAAACAGGACATAAAAAGATCTATAGAACAAGAGATCTGTGCACATTGTAGTTGCTCCTTCATATATACATTAATTTATATTATTTATTTATTTTCATAGTAAACTAAAATATGCGTTGGAGGTAAGCACATGAGTATTTTTAATGTTTCTTATTTTAACATATTTCAAGCTTTTCCTTGTTTATTATTTATTTATTTTTGTTGCAGAAACACTAGCTCACAAATCATCGACGGCAAAAAAGTTGCCGAAGAAATTCAGAAGGAGTTGAAGAGAGATATCGACACATGGGTAAGCGAAGGACACCGAGCTCCATCTTTGACTGCCATTTTGGTAGGTGAGGACCCGGCTAGCAAGAAATATGTTCGGAATAAGATGACTGCTGCTAAAAAAGTTGGTAAGTTAAATTTCTTCTTCAATCTCTTTTATGTTTGCCATGTAGTTACCTTTTGTCCCGCCTATCTCATCAGTGTCAGCTTATCATTTTCTTATTATTTGAAAGTATTGTATTGAAAGATAATAATAATAAAAATAAGTAAAAGACACTCTATAGGTATAGATTGTTTCGACATAGGATTTGGAATTCATTATCTCTATGCCATTAAACATATTCTTCCTAAATGCGTATTAAGTAACATATTTGTATTCCTCTATCAACAACATTTTCGATATCATAGGCCATTTTGTTACAGGTATTACTAGTAAAACTTTAAAATTATCGAAGGACTTAACGGAAGAAGAACTGATCAATAAAATAAATGAACTTAATGAAGACCCTTTGGTGGACGGTATTCTAGTACAGCTTCCCGTCCCCGAACACATTTCGGAAAAAAACGTATGCAATGCCGTAGACCCTAAAAAAGATGTCGATGGATTCCACATTACTAACATGGGTCGCCTGGCTCTCAATCTAGATACTCTGGTGCCGTGTACCGCTTTGGGTGTCATTGAACTCATCAAAAGGTGAGTATATTTTTTTAACTGTAGAAAGCTCTTAGCTAATGCATTCTTAAGAAAGTATTTTGCTTTTAAATCCATACTTACATCTCTATCAGCCTTCTTCAATATTATTATTACTTTTATCGCCAAAAGAATACATAAAGTTAAGCAATTGTTAAACATTTATCAAGGAAACTTTCATTCTAGATCCCAAATTGATACCTTCGGCAAGAACGTGGTAGTTTGTGGTAGATCGAAAAACGTGGGTCTTCCGATCGCGTTACTTCTTCATTCTGACGCTAGAAACGAATGTCCAGGTCATGAAGCTACTGTAACCTTGTGTCACAGACACACCCCTCCGGAAGAATTGGAATTTTTTGTAAAGCGAGCTGACATTGTGATAAGTGCCACTGGTAAGTTATATTTTATATATATTTGAGGTACTCAAATTGGACGGAATAGGATGTCCATAGTGGGCTACAAAGGGTAAAAACACATGGAGCTACATACAAATAATTATAGAATAGGTTGTTCTCAATTGAGGACACAGTGAACGAAAGGGCTAAATTGTTAAAATTGTTGAAGCATGTTTTGCTTAAAAGCGCTATTATAGAATGGTTTGTAAGGAGTAGCAAAAAGGAAACACTATAGGATTCTCAAAATCATTTGACATTTTCTTGTCTTAAATGATGCAGTAATTTTATTAAACCAATAATGTGGATACCTACATAATGTGTTGACCTAGGGCACATAAATGTAAATTTAAAGTTCTGCTTTATTGTAATTTAAAAACTGATGTACAAAAATATTATAGTGTAATTTTTTTATTTATATTAACGACATTTTTTAACTCTTCAGGTGTAGTTAACTTGATCAAACCAGATATGATCAAGCCTGGAGCATGCATTATAGATGTTGGTATTACAAGGATACCAACCGAAGATGGCAAGGACAAAATTGTAGGAGATGTTGATTTTGAAGGTGAGTATTTCTTTTCTGATTATGACAATATAGAAAGAAAGTGGGATCTGTATAATCCCAGCATCTTTCTGTGATGAATGAAATCACATACAATATTAGATATAGATATAGATATAGTATTAGATATAGACCTGGACATTATTGGAAAAAGTTAAAAAACTTCTGCAAATATTCACAATATTCAATGAAAGAAAGTGCAAATAAATTAGTTGCAGACTTTTGGCCAGATATTGCAGCAGTACATCACTATTTCTAGTGTTACTCTGAAGAGCTGCATATACTCTGAAAGAAACATCTTTAAGGGCCGGTTCTACATTCCAGGTATAAATTGGAGAATAGTTATTCTGAGTATAACTTATACTTGAGTTTATTCCAAGTATAACCTTTCGGGCGTTCTACATTGTGAAATCGACAGCGGAATAGTTATTCTGGGTATAACCACAGAACACTAAGGTAAAACGAAATAGTAGATCTGATATCTTCAAAATTAGTTCAAATTGTTATTGACAGCGACATTTGGCATTTGTCATAACTGTAAAATTTGTTTACAATTGAAAGAAATTGAATAATTGATTCGCTTTATCTGGTATTTTATCTACGTTTATATTATTATACTGTACAAAATTAATATAAAATGGATAAAAAAAGATGTAAAATTTCCTTCTTAAATTTTTTATTATCATCAACTGAGATTAGTGTTATAATATAATAACCAAAATTATGTAAATATATCTATATAGGTACTCCACATTTTAAACAAGTATAAATATTGGATTACAAAATATATAATTTTAGTTAAAGAAATGTTTATATAATACAGATTCTAGAATTACAGTCTCTGTTATCAAAACATTAAAAAATATATTGCCTTGGTAAGATTATACCTATACTATATTAGTCATATGTGTAGACGTTATTACATTACATACATATCCTAAAATTTTAGAATTGAAATAATAAATGCTTTCTTTTTCTTTTGGATTGCCTAATAAAATTTCCTTTGGATTTACAATCTAAAATGTTTGTGCAATATCAAAAATTTTATTTTATATATAAAAACAAACAAAGTGAGGTTAAAATATTACAGATTTGACAACCCCTGACCGACCAATAGAAATGCAGTATAAATTTATACTCGGTATATCTGCTAAACTTTGGAGGGATAAAGTTATTCTACAGATATACCCCGATTATCTTTATTCCTAGTTATTCTTTGTTTGTAGAACACCATTAATGAAGTTATTCCAAGTATAACTTATATTCTCAGTATATACTAGCATTGTAGAACCGGCCCTAAGTACCATATTCGCTGTGAAGGTTAGCTATCATCATGGTCAATTCAACTTTAGAAACAGCCGCTCTAAAGAGTTGATCCAAACTGCAATTAAACCACTCCCTCAAATTTCTGAGCCAGGATATGTCTTCTCTTGATACTTCTTTTACTCACTATTTTTCTTTCCATGCAATATGTACTGCAGGTATTACATTATTTTCTTTCCCCATTAGTATCTCTGTCAAACCAGAATTTCTCAGAGTTTGGCTGTACATCCACATTTCAAAATATTGTAATTCTTTGTATTGATTCTACATTTAAAGTCCAGTTACTGTACTAAAGTACACTGGTCTAAAACCTTGATCTATATTGGTCATATAAATATACTACAAGAAGTATCAAGTCAATTTCAGTTAAAAGGAAAGATGAAAGTGACAAAAATATATAGCCCAATGATTTGAAAGTTTCCACTTATTTTCAATGATCGTAATCCCTGTTTTTTCTTTTTCAGGTTGTTCTGATGTTGCAGGTTACATCACTCCTGTCCCTGGTGGAGTGGGACCAATGACTGTAGCAATGCTAATGTCAAATACCTTTAAAGCTGCCCAACTTTTGGTAGAAGAGGCTGTTAAGGTTGTGAAAGCCAATGGGCACTAAATGTAATGTTAAATGAAAACAAAAAAGCATGTTAGGCTTTAAAAATATTTTTCAAATTTAAATTTGTAGAATATTGTGAGTTTGATTCTTGATATAACAAACATGCAGTCTTTATACTCTACTATTCTAAAAAATAATCTTTAATGTATAATTTTACATTGCTGTACCTCATTTTTACGTTAAACATATGATGTTTATACTTTTTATGTGATTTGCCAAAATTTGATAATGTATGTTGTAGTGTGTAATCTGTATTGTACAAAGAGAGTGATATGACAAACTGATGTACTTAGAAATATATTTGAAACACTTTCAAAAATCTAAAAGTCTAATAAAACAACATCAACCTTAATAATGACAGAAATTATGGTCCAGTTTTTAAACAAGATTTTTAACAGATAAAATACATACTAGATTGATCATTCTTTAATAATATATTGAAGCATTTTAAGTTTTTATATTCATATTTGATAAACTGGAAATTTTATTAGGCCAACACATGCTTTATATTTGTTTGTTTTGCCTTAAACATTTGGGTTTGTGGTTATTTTTATAGTGTTTTATTCTGACATTGTTAAATATTGATTACCAGTGTAATTAATTGCACAGTATTATAATTTATGATTTTTTAGTAGTTCCCCCATTTACAATTATTCAATTAAAATTATATTTTATAAATATATTGTTAAATTACTTTCTGCTTTTTATTTATCATTCATCTTCCTGGGAGAAAATTGAAGCACTGAT